CCCTAAACCCCTAAACCCTATACAGGAACCATCCTCAGAGCCCCTTTTAAATCCCAGGCGCCCTGCGAGCCGAGTCCCTACGTCTACCCTCCGTGCCCGGAGGATCCCCGGGGGCCTTTGGCCACCTATCCCAGGGAGGCCTGGGGTTTAGGGTTCCGGGTTTGGCTTTGGGGTTTAGGGGTTAGGNNTAGGGTTTAGGGTTTAGGGACTGTCTTGTGGAGTTTCCCGGCTGCTTGCAAGAGTCCTGGATGCAAAGGGTTTAGGGTTTAGGGGTTCATGGCTTCGATTTGGCCAACTTTTCAGGGAGACCTGGGGGGCGGAAAGCTCAGGGTTTAGGGTGTTACATGTAGGGTTTAGGGTTTAGGGTTGAGGGGTTTAAGTTCTAGGGCTTCGGATTTACGGGTGGTTTAGGTTTTGAATGAAGGGTTTAGAAAATCTGAGGAGGCCTGGCTGCAAAAGGCTTTATACCATTTATTCGAACAGGTTTCTAGCTACAAGGGTGTCTCTGGATCGTATAGGGCTCCCAACGGCTTTAAAAGCTGGAAACCTAATAGTCTCAATCCTTCAAACAAAAATGTATACGGAATCCTAGCACTCATTTTATCCGTAATCCCGGTTTCCGACTTTTTTTGGGGGTTTACTCTAAGTTGCTAGAAGAGGTTTACGATGTGTCGAAGCCGGGAGGGCTGCAGGGATTTCTGGGCCCACTAAAACCCCCCAAAAAGGACATAAGCATAAGCATTTTACGTGGATATCCCTACCTTATTTCATGACGGGAGGGTGTAGATGGGATGTCCCTACCCAGATTTGCGCAAAGGTGCCTTTATGGGGGCCCCTATGAATACCCAAACTCCTAGGAAACCCGACAAAATCAGGGCTTTCCGACCGAGCTAGCTTCGCCTTCAGAGTCTGGGTTCCGAGAGTCCAAACCGCAAGCCCTGAATTTACCCATAGGCCCCATAGTAGTTCCTTTTTGGGGGTTACCTTATAGGATTCTATATATGAACCCCAAAACGGAACTACCCATAGGCCCCATAGTAGTTCCTTTTTTGGGGTTACCTTATAGGATTCTATATATGAACCCCAAAACGGAACTACCCATAGGCCCCATAGTAGTTCCTTTTTGGGGGTTACCTTATAGGATTCTATATATGAACCCCACAACGGAACTACTTTAGGGCCTATGGGTAAATCCCCATCTCTCGCGAGTTGTGGGTTTCAGAGTTTAGGGCTTGATGGGTTTAGCGGTTTCAGAAAACCTAAACCCAAATAAACCCGCCCTAAACCCTAAACCCTAAATTCTAAACCCTAAACCCCAAAACCTAAAGGGAAATAAACCCGTCGGAGCACGAATTCGGGTGGTTCCAGTTAGGCACGGTCTTGTGAGTCAGGGTCTCGGCTAGTCGTTTGGGATCTAGCGTGCTTAGTAGCTGAATTAGTACGTATATTTTGCACTTTAGCTGGTAGTATTGTCCCCGTTAGTATCCCCTACAGAACTAACGTTTACACATTGTAGGATCTTATGAAGTCGGCAGCTAAGAGTGGCATTCACATAGACACGTTCCCGTTTAGGGCTTAGGGTTTAGGGTTTAGGGTCGAAGTGGAAAGCCTGTTGCAAAAGGGTTTAGGGTTTAGGGTTTGGGGTTTAGACCTGTCAGGAAGCTTGCCGGCGCGACTGGCAGAGGCCTCCTCTGGAGACACAGGCTTGGCCTAGATTCAATTCCTACCATAGGGGCTTTAGCACTTTACCTATACTATTTGGGGGGCTCCTTAAAAGATGCATGGTATAATATACTCCCCAAACCCTACTCCAATTATGAAGGCTCCTACATTAGGAGGGTTTTACAAGGATTTTTTAGGGCCAGTCCGGGGTAGAGGGTCTGTATATTATAGAGGCGTTACTGATTGCCAATATGATTTTAGGGTTCCTTCCAAAAACGCAAAACCTTTTCTAGTGTTCAGTGTTTTGGGTTCAGTCCCGAGCGTGAGACCTCGAACAGAGACACATCAGCACGAGCGTCCTTTGGTTTTTATTTTCGTGCTCGGGATGCCGCTCTGCTGAGGCATAGCTGCAGAAAGCCTGGCCTAAACATTTGTTGAACCTAAATTCGCTTGAACCCTAAACCATACCTGCAGCCTACATTGGAATTCCGGCCACATTCCAAGCCCGAATTTCGTATAGGTGCCAAGTACATACATCTAAGAGCGCTCGACAGAGAACTACCTCCAAGAGTCTTTGATCCTAACTCGTTTGAGAGCCACGAACCCTGACATGAAAAAAACCGTTTCGCACCCAAAAAAAAACGCTGCTGAACCCTATTAACGCCCCTGCACAAAATCCTGCAAAGCCTTATTGAAACAGAATTGGAACCGTTTATATAGAACCCTACGAAAACTCAATTCATGCCACATGGGTAGTTCTCAAACTTGGGTCCCTGTTTAGGTCCCCAAACTAGTACGCTACCCTATAAAAAGACCTCTAGTTTGGAGAACTACCCACCCTAAACACCTAAACCCCAAACCTATGTATAGAACCTCTGAAATTCCCCAGGTTCGACCACAGGAGGAGGTTGGCCCCAAGCGCTCCGTGGAGGATCTCCCCACGTTTCTGGCCTTCAAAGAAGCGACTGTTGCAGGTTTGTTGGGCATTCTGCATTTTAGGCGGCGTAGCACAGAAGTATTCTAACTATACCATAACGAAGCCCAAGACCCTACTCTAATTCTTAAGGCAACTACATTAGGACTGAGAGTATGACGTTGGTTTTAGGATTCCGCGAGGGATATTGCTGCACTGGTTCAAGAAAAGGATTCTGTAGCTATTTGCAACAGGGATGGTGGTGCCATACCCCAAATGGGGGGGGGGGGGTTACCATTGAATCCAAGCAGATGTTTACACGGTTTGATGAGGTGTTAGAAGATCCCGCTCAGGGTTTAGGGCTTAAGTGCCCAAGTACCGGATGAGCTTATACTCGCCCAAATATACCCAAACCCTGAGGTTCTCTATCTTATGGCCCTCTGTTTGTACTTTGACGCATGTGTAGTTAGTTTCACCCTGCAGACCTCGAACCATATGCCTCGCCTGGATTGTCCCAGTGTCAGCGCCGAAATCCTTTTAAATCCGAGACAAACTTACTAACAATTTGCCTCAGACAAAGAACCTTCCTTGTCGGTCCTGTTGGGTCTCATGGGTTGTAGGGCTTTAGGGTTTAGGCTTTAGGGGCTCAGGGAGTCTTAGGGTAGGGCTTGGGGTTTCAGAGGTCAGGGGTGGTAGCGCTTCAGGGCTGCACGGATTAGCGTGTTGGGCTCCATTGCCGGGTACCCGGCTCCTGTAGGCATCTTTAAAGCCATGTTAGGCTTATAAAACCGTAGAGAAAAGACTGTAGAACCCGAAAAGACCCTCATCATAAACCACGTGTATAGAATCCGTACTACAGATCACATGAACAACCCTAGAAGCGCCCCTGCGTCCCTAAACCCTAATCCCTAATCCC